TCCCTCACAAGGGTACTAAGCTGGGAGCACCGTCTCAGAGATGGGGCATGGGGTGGTCGTACCAATCACACACGCACACACGCACCGGCAGCGAGACTAAGGGAAAAAGTAAAGCTCAGCTTATTCCCTTGAGGCTGCACAGACTCGATCATTGTCCCCTTGGCGTGTGGGGGCAGTGCCAGTAACTCAAGGCACCACCCCTCGACCTGAAGGGGGGTAGAAGTTTCGTCGGTCACGAAAGCTCCAAAGCTCTGTTCATACACCCCAAATTGCGTCAGGCTGGGAAGTGGAGGGCAGGGGGGGCCTCAAACTGGGTGAATTTGTAATCGCCACCGATTTTACTTGCCGAGGTTATCACCCGCTCTCAGAAGACGTATATAAGACATTGCAACACACGATCAACAATTCAAGAGCCACGCACAACGCGCAGCGCCCACCTGCTTTGCAAGCAGCATGCACACTACTTCATTACATTATATTTAGCCCCACTACAACTGCAGGCAGTCTCACTGGTGATCGTGTGTTGCAGCTGCAGGCTGATGCAGAGCAAGGAGGCCAGTCTGAAAGGGAAGCAGACTTGAGACCACCATGATCGGCATGCGTCACGCCTCTTGCGGCGGTGTGTAATCAGTGTAGTATGTTTCGCTCGCCCTGGCGCCATGTTGGGTTATGATGGTTGCTGTAATCAATCTGTACAGGCCCATTATAGCATTGCCTTCGCTTCAGAGGTTTATGTATGCATAGCTGGTTGAGTGCGTTTTGTGATTTGCGTGAAGCAGCATGGGCCATTCGCGACCTGTGCAAGCAGTTGACGAGCAGGCTGTTGAGTTGCACAGCCTTGCTTGGGCTTGATACATCGTGCTAGTTCCGTGAGAAGCTACAGACCCTAAGAAATTAATTTGTAATGTCATTCTTGCTTTGTTTGTAAGTGGACTAGAGACACAAGTCCGAGCCTAGGATTAAGAGCCCCCTTTTTTGCTGCCTGACTTCGATTCTGAAGGAATCAGAAGCGCTGCGTCCAAGGCGGAAACATTTGGCTCCACAGTCATGATAGCCTTTCGTTGTAGGCTTCCAGCGGGCTCTCCAACCAGCATACGCTGTTGCTATTCGCCAAATGTGCAGGCTTGGCTGTACAGGGTGCACAAGAGACATACGATGGACCTTGGCACAGGACAAAGACGCAACTCTGGCAGATCAGTAGCTACTACTAGGGCGGCAATGCTGGACCTTTGATACCAAAATGCTTCTTACGGGAGAGCCAGGGCTCAGCAAACACATGAACCAAAATCAGAGTAGCTAACAGACGACACGCACTGTTCAGAAACCAGCCGTTCACATAGTTTGTGCAATGCTCGAAAGATCAGTATCTAGAGATGGCTTGTTGGACCAAAAATTAAGAAGACCAAGCAAGGGCACATTGAAGCCAAAATTGGGGGGCCTCTGCAGCAAGGATGACTATATAAAGCGAATGTCAACCTTCGCCACATCCTGCACAGATCTGCTGCTAAGGCTCGTGGCCTCATACCCTGACTCCTAGCTTCCAAGACACTAGATCCATCTCGCGGTGACCTGTAGAGACGAAACTTTGTGGTTTTTGCAGTAACTTGTCAAAAGCTATAAGATGTCAAACGGCAACATGCGTGCGCAAGCCGTCTAAGATAAGAAGTGCTGGGTACTAAGATCACCCCGCCCACGCTTTAAATAGGCAGCAAGCTTGCTCATGCAGGTGCTTGCAGTCCTGTAGAGCAGCATGGTGAGGCGGCGGCTCGCAGTTCAAGTTGCTTTGGCTTACGTGCTCGCATGGCACGTCTTGCTTCCACTTCCAGCTTGGGTATCCGACAGCCCTAGAACCGTCATTCAGGCAGAAAACGGGCTTTGGACTGTCGAGAGACTGCGTGAGATGTCCTTAGAAGAAGGCCATGCAAAAACACTGAAGCAACACGGAGTTGCTTTGCTGCCCAAGTTGTTCGAGACAACGCAGCTGACCGAAATTCTGCAGGCTTTTCTCCAGTTGCAGGATGCTGATGACGTTACCGATTTCAAGTTTGGTGACTTGCGAGCAGAGCGACAAGCTGTACATTTGCCCTTTGAACCACCATTTGATGGACTTCCTCTACTTGGCAAGGATGCAACTTTGCTAGCTGCTTTGTCCAGATATTTGGGACAAGATTTTGTCCTGGAAAGTGCTCTCATTATAACTGTCCATGGGGGGACAAGTACTATGAATGCACACACAGATACAGAGGACGAAGGTAGCCTTTCGGTGCACATACCGCTACAGCCCTTGACAAGTGACTTTGCTCCTCTCTCATTCTGCCCTGGAACTCAATACGATATCGAGTTGCTTGACCGCGCAGGGGCACAGGCCCGCCGTTGGCGCTGCATTGGCGAGTCCAGTGCTGACGCGCGCAAACGTATAGCAGCTGGCCTGGAAGCAAAGAGACAATCTTTAAGTCTGCACTGGGATGGGGAGGCTTCAGCACTTCTTGGTGACATTGATCTTCAGATTGGAAAAACCTGTGCCAGGGTGCGAAGCCTTCGTGAGTCTACGACGTCTGGATTGCAAGTCGGAGATGAGATCACACATGTAAATGATTTGAGGTTTGGTGCTTGGCTTCGTATTCATCCCGACATTGCAGAGATGAGCTCGAACCTAATGTTGCGCGTGCTGCGCCCTCCGCATATCAACACCCTGGCACCACCGCCAAACCTCTTGGTTGGTGCTCCTCTGAACTTGGGAGATGCAATAGTTTATGATTCGCGCACAGTCCATTGGGGCATGGCAAATGAGAAGTCAGAGGCGCGGCACGTTCTGTATCTGAACTTCATGAGCGCGAACTTCGAGGGATATTCCCCGGACGGGGATGCCATCGAAGATGCTTCATCCAGATGTCTGGAGGCAAGAGCCGCCTTCCGGAAACGACTGCAGGACATTAAAGGCAAAGCGTTGGCTCGATGATGTGTGCAGATGAAAAGCATTGCAACTCCTTTGTTTCTGAGCTTGGCTAATTGGAAGCTGGCCGACTGCCAGACTGCTTGAGTAATTAGAGACCAAAAGAGGTTCATGTTATGTTAGGCCACTTTGCATGCAAGTGTGAAAGGTTCTTAGATGATCGTGACCCTCTGAATCATGCTAGCTCCGAAGCTGCTTACAGCTGGCAATAGAAGGGGAGAAAGGCGTAAGGGGGCCCTTATGTAGTAAGCGGCAACTGTCGCAGACATGCCACGAATGATGTCCAGACCCGTGCCCCAAGCAGCACTCTCAGTTGCAGGTTTGTGTTTGCAGAAGTGCAGACCAGCAGAGTTCCAATCGCTCGCGGCGGTCCGAGTGCTCAGTAGCTTAGGTCGTGATGGTCCGCCATCCACGGCGGAGTGGCGTATTAGGGCTTGGTGCCGGTCTGCTCTTTCTGAGCTTTGCTGGGCGCTGAGATGGGTTTGGATGGATTTATGGCATGCTAGTTGCTGGCCCAAAAGTCAGGACGTCACTAGTAGTAGATTTGAAAAAAAAAAGCCCAAGGTCAGCAAGTTCAGCGAGCGTGTCCAGATTTACAAGGCTGTGGAGAGTGCTGCTTGCAGCGTCCATGCTTGCCTGTAGCAGCAGAATAGCCAGGACCCTAATTTCAAGAAATTGTATGGGCCGTGCTTACTGCCAACTGGAATGCTTACAAGGGCTAGACCATTGCCATAGAGGAGAAATCCGAAAATCTTGATTGGCTGTAGCCATGCAAGGGGATCTGTTGCGTGCAGAAACCTGCCTCGCACTATGGCCAGATGGATTTCTATTTGACGTTGGTTTATATAGGGGTTATATAGGGAGAATGGAAAATCAAATGGAAACTACTATAATGGAAAAGAAAATGGAAACTACGGTGTGGTGCAGCGCAGGCCAAGAATCTCAAAATCAAGAACACAAAGCAGCAGCGGGTGGAAGGCCTCACAGACCCTCGGCTGATCATTCGGCTAGAAAGTTCCCACGAACGAAGCATTTATCTGAGGATCTGATGCGCTTTATTTTGGGGTCGACCTGTAGCCTGCGAGAGTTCCTCACCGTGGCCAAGCTGTCCTTGATGCTGCTGCTCCGCACGGTTGGCTCCGTTTGGGCACGAGCCCCAGCTGTACGGTGCTTGTACAAAAGTTTTGCTCACAAAGCCATTGACCTGCCCAGTAGCCGTGCAGCAGCACGCTCTCATGAGCTACAAGACTTCGACCAATGACAAGCATCAGAAATCATCCTGCATGCCCACAGCGAAGTGGCTGCATTCGGTGCCTGCTGTAAACAGCCGTGCTTCAACGTAACCCTTGGCTGCTGAATAACCAGCAAGCAATCTTGCAAGTGTGTTCGAGCGTACTGCGGCGCACATCAAAACAGACCCCTTGCAAACTGCCCTCCTGCTTCTCAACATGTCTAGACAAGCGGCCAGCAGCTCACCAGCTTCAAGCGTTTTTTGGACTGGATTCTTCACGAACTCAAACAACATGCCAAGACTTCATACCAGGAGCTGCAAAAAGTCTTCAGCTTGAGACACAATGGACTGCTTGTGCCTCTATACGATACCCTCCTGCAACCTCAGCCTTGGACATCTTCTTACAGCCGCCAAAAATCATTCGCAGATCAGCCGAATGCATGTGAGGGACCGTCAAATGTTGCACAGCTTTCCCATCCAGAAGCACAGTAGAGTCCAGCTTCAGCGCTGATGATCTCACCGAGGTCTCCAAGCACTGGGGTAGCATTGTCAACTCGGTGGTCTCTCAAGACTTCGTCCGATTAGCCAGATTGGTTTCGGAATTTGCTGGGGCAACCGCTACTTGGACGAGCATGCTGTTCTTTTGGTGTGACGATTGAACGCTGCAGACGATGTTGCTGGTAGCTTTGTACCTTGTACTCCGCGCGATGTGTGGCAGAAGTGTCTGAGAGTGCTGTGCCCAGGTCTTCCTTTCGTTCTTGAATGCCCTCTTAAAGCGTCTGGGCTCACTCAGTTGGAAAGCTGTCCGGTACTGTACGAGACTGAAAATGGTGCCACTTCGTCACCGAAAAGCACACCAGATTGTTGCTGCATGCTGCGCTTTGCTTGGCCCTTTAGGGTGGGTGAGCAGCCAGATGCTGCGAAGAATGTAAGGCAGACTCAATAATTAGAACGCCAGGAGGTTTCTTCACACTTTCTGAGTAGGAGACGTCAAGAAACAGGCCGGCCGGCCGGCCAGTGTTGGAGATATATGGAGTCGAAAGCAAGAACGACAACTTAGAAGAAGAGCCAGACACTTTTTTTGGTTTTCCATGTATGTCCGAGCCAAGTGCAGGTATTACATCAGCGCACTGAGACTACAAGTTCGAGAAAAGATCACCCAGTGGTGCCACGAGAAGTACATGCGCCCCAAAGAGATGATCTTTTACAAGGCGTGGATGCTACCCACAGAGCGGTATGCTTTCAGCCTGCAGTTTTCTCAGGCCAATAAAGTCGGGCAGAAGATTGACAACTGCGACCACCAGATCACCTCAGACGTGGAGAGGTTTTCGGACGTCTTCGCGGAGCGGGGGCAGCAAGAAGTGGTTGTGCACACCCATTCTTGGCAACCCTTTTTTCATGGATCTTGATGCAGTGTTTAGTCCGAAGTGAGATGGCTTTGTGCAAGGAAGTGTTCTCGCAATCGCTGAAGCCCATCGTGGACTTTTTGGTGTACTCCGTGGAGCTGAGCCGGGTCCAGGGCCTCACAACACCGCTGACGCTATACTCGTGGTTCGCGCGACGGGGCCTAAGTCGATGCAGTTCTTGGCATGAGGCGCATGATTCACCACTGCACTTGACATTACGGGGAACTAAGTTGCTTCGTGCGTGTCAGCAGTGACATTGCCACCGTTTGGCGAGCTGGCAGCCGGGGAGCAAAGGTTGGAAGGCCACTGTCACAGTTTAGAACTGCTCTTGCAAAGTCCGGCCGCCCTCATTCTTGGCAGTATTACATAACCTGTACGTGGCCAAACATTAAAGCTGCCTCCACCAGGCAACTTTCGAGGAAAGCATTCCGAACTGATCACCAACTGTGAGCAGATTGCCTTCCTTGGGGGAGAACGACCTGAGAAAGATGTGCTGAATGCCTCCTTTGCAGAATTGATGAGCCACTGCAAGCGGACGATCAATTTGTCCTTCAACTCTGAAGTCCTCAGGCAGTACCTCAACAAGTATTTCTGTACAGTCATTGGGTTGATCCTCATTGCGAGGCCTTTGCGCCTCAGATCACCTTCTCTGCCACCCTTCTCAAGCGATCAAATTGCACAATATTTCACCTCAACCTGGAGGAACATGGAGGCCATGGCCACTGCCATCCAGGACATATTTGAACTCCGACGAATAGCACTTTTCTCAGACAATTGACAAACAGGGAACATGCCCATGGTCGTGATGATTGAATAGACATGCTAGAATGTCAAGAGCATGGGCAAGAACAGGAAGATCTCACATAAGCGACTCTAGGCAGAGATTCCAAGCAGCAGCTCTCTAATTCAACTGGAACGTTTCAAGGTAGAGAATCTCTGACTGGCTAAAGCTGCGCGCAGCCGGCCAACAAAGCTCAGAATTTCAATTCAATGAAAGCATGCGGGTCACTCAATGATTGAAAACTGTTCCTAAGATGGCCCGTAAGCACGCCTGTTTTGCTTTCCCCCTGTGGATAAAGCCTCTCCCACAGGACCTGTTCGAGCTCACCAATCGCATCGGACGACTCAGCGGTTTTGCCACACGGGTTCGGCAGCTCATGCTGGGCCTGCAAGTACGTCCACCCGTGCTTTCTGCAGAGATCGAGGCAGCAAAGCAAGGCGTCTTGTCATAAATCGCGGAAAAGTCTTTGACAAAGAACCAGCGATGGCCCCGCAGCATCAAGGAGGACATTGTGCATGCTGTAGCAGATGAGGAGCACCGTCAGTGAAAGCGATGCGCCATGTGGGTTGCAGGATGCGTGGTCCTCCAGTAAACTTAAAAGCCTTTAGAATCTACCACTGGTCTGAGTGGTTTGCATGTTTGGTAAGCCTCGCGACGCCTTGCAATTAAGTTGTCTATTAGAGATCGAGACTATGGATTCGTGTGTTCAGGGCCAGGGCAAAGCCATGTCCCGGATCGTCAATCCGATCGGCCATATCAACAGCAGTGTAAGTCTAGAGTTTAAAAAACACTTGCTCATGTCCAGCGGCATCTTCAAATGCTCCTGATGCACTCAGGTCCAAATCCTCCGGTCTTCCGTCAGGGCCCACATCTGAAGTTCGAGAACGCATCTTGACACAAGCCAATTGAGAATCCATGTTAACCCAGGCTAAAAACATGCTAGACATTCAAACACAATGACCTAAGCTTCGCAGACAACAAGTCTTGGATCATGCCAAGCGTTATTCGAGGTTTCGGTATACCGCCCCGACGGTACCTTGCTGGTGAAAGATCTCAACTTCACGGTGAACCCTGGGCAGCGGGTACTAGTGACGGGTGGGAACGGATGTGGAAAGTGCCTGGGGCGAAGTTGGTGTTTGCACAACAAGTGGATCGGGGTTTTTGTTCCCTTTGCTTCAATTCCTGAGAATATAGGGTCGGCGGCAGGAAGCTGTCACATTCCTGATGGCAACCTGCTTCAAGGGACTTCTGGCCAGAGCTGAGTTTCGGATGGTGCTTAGAAGTACAGTTGTGTTGAGAAGTACTGAGGTCAAGTCTCTTCCGGGTCATCCGCAAGCTTTGGCCGTTGGTGGAGGGAACCATCACTATGCCAGATGATAAGGAACTGAAAGTCTGTTCACATGTTTTGCTTCACTTTGGTGATGAGAACATGCAGCAGTCCTGCGTGTACCGATGGAGCTGAGTTTCCGGCTGAGTTTGGTGCACATGTTGCAGTGAGACATGTCGTCTCTGGCAGGAGATATACTTCTTGACGATGCTCGGCGCAAAAATAGACCATGAGGTTGGATGCTCCCCGCGGTTTTATTGGTCAACATGGGTCTCTTTCGAAAACCGCTTCCTGAAGTGGATGCGGTGCAAGCTGAGGCAAGTCAATTTTGTACCATGTGGCTCTCTCCGAGACCTAGTCATTTACCCGCAGTCGAGAGATGAGATGCTGGCCGCTGGCTACAGCGACGATGACGTGCGCACCTGTCTTCGTTGGGCTCACGTATCGCCGACGGTGATACACGACGGACGGGCGCAACTGGAATTCAACGACGGTGGCCACATTGTCAGGCCCAGCCTTGACGACGTACGAGATTGGCAGAAGGATTTGTCGCCTGGCCAGAAGCAACGCTTGGCCTTTGCAAGGTTGTTCTATCATCGGCCATCCTTTGTCGTGTTGGACGAGTGCACGAACGGAATATCTCCTGATGTGGAACATGACCTGTATGACCGATGCACACGACTTAATCTGGCAGTGTTCTCTATATCTCACAAGATTGAGCTCAAGCTTTTCCACGTCACTTGGCTTGCCGGTCCGCAACAACGTTTCTAGTCCTCCAGGGTTGATTAACCTCAAACAACTTGGAGGATGCAAGTTTGCGTTCCCAAACGTTTGGGGCCTATTTTGATTTGCAGTGGCACTACCAAGGAGAGGGAGCTGCACTATCACGGGGACCTCAAGGGCTCCTGGGTCATGAACGAATGCTCTCACACACGTGATAAGATCACGCGCGCATCATCCACCGTCAAGCTTCCTGAGCCAGACAAAACTGGCAAAAAGGAATCAAGAATAACTTATGAGAGGCATGTATGGTTTGCTGAATGAGGGCACTGGCCTCCCCTACACCATCTCCTAAGGAGCAGCGACCCTGCCTTACAACCCAGGACCAATTGTACACACGAGGGCAGTGCTTCTGATGCATGTCTTGTGCGCGAAGCAAAGTTCCAAGCTGGTCAAGCTCCAGCTTTTGTGGACAGCCACTGTTCTACCTTGCAACTTGCTATCATGTGCCACTGCAGAAGAGCAGCAGACAAAACCGGAGGCAATGAGAGTAAGCTGCACGGCTTGACGGCAAAATTGCCGGGGCTGTTCGCATAAAGATGCCAAAGCCAAGGGCCTCTCCGACTCAATCAGAGGTTGGACATTCCAAAGGTCCTGAAGGAAACGTAACATCAGGCGGGCGCCCACCTGAAAAGAAGAATCTTGAGCTTCTGGCAGCTGTGTGCAGAGAGTCGACCTGCAAGCCTAGCGCAATGTTCACAGACCCTTCTGAGGATAGGGGGGATGCTATGAATTTGTGCTTTCTTTTAATGTCAGGTCAAGACTAGGCAGGGTCTCAGAAGCTGTCGCCGCAAACTCTGCTATGGATGTGGCTCACATGCTTTTAGAAGGGTCATTATCCCCGGCTGCTCACAACACTGACTTCAAGTCGCAACGATGGGGGCATCTCACTCAGAAAGCGATGCTTGCTCTTGTGGAGTAGCGCTGCTCAGATGCCACTGTTTTCTTTTCGTGTTGAGTGAGGCAGTGAAGACTTACACGTTGAAGATCAAGCTCGCCAAAAAGCTGGAATCCTCAGATCTGAGGGCTTGTGAGTATGTAAGACGTAGCACTACAGCCCCTTGCTGTTTTAGACAAGGTTTTGGGCTATCTAAAGTATGAGGAGCCAGATTATACTAGGGACCCTAAAGGAGATGCCAATTTCTACGACCTGCCGTACGAAGGGCTGCATCAGGTTTTCAGCTTGATAGGGGCGATACAGGCATGATGGACAAAAGCTGATGTTTTCCCAGACATTGCAGCAGGTGAGGGTTTCCGTCCGCAGGGGATCTTCAAATTGTGTTTTCCCTGGTGCTTCTTCGCGCGTAGAAGGGAGCATATTGCAGTTGCAATCCTTCCGAATCTCATGGAGGCTTTCGAATATGTTCCACTTCGGTGTCCCGTGAAGGAATGCACATACTCTTTCCTCGTGACATGTGGACGTCTTCAAGCGTCATTGTCGTCTGCCTAGCTTCAAATTATCCTAGCCGGTGGCGTGCCAATAAACAAAAAGCAGTGCGATGCACAAAACACAGGCCTGCCTTTAGCATTGCCACTCATGTAGGTAGAACATCTGATATGGGCAAAAAGCACGCATGCTGTCGGCAGAGCGGATCATGGCCGGAGCATGACGATCAATTCAGCACTTCCAAACCAGGGACACAATTGGAACAACTCGTGGCAGGATTTGCAGCACGGAGCATGAGCATACTGACAATAGTAAACGATGCGCACGGGCAACGACAAGCCTTGGGAATGTGATGCAAAGGTGCAGGAAGCTTCTCATGCATCGTCTTGTGCTACCTATGTCGTCTCCAGCAGTCATGTTGTGTCAGCATCCTCTGATTGGCCATGCAAGGATCAAGCAGAATCGACCTTTGCCGCAGTGGTTTCGATTGAAAACTGGCACCAAGATTCGCTACAACAAGCCAGTCCCTGAGTTGCTGATTTGGCCACAGCTGGGCGCAGCAACGCCAGAGTGGTGGTCATTATTTTCGATGCCATGTAGTCAGCGGACTATATCACGCCAGTTCAATTCAGCGTCCTTTGTTGTGGTAAGCAAAGCGCTGGTATGTCAGGGGATAGTTTGCAGTGATTGTCAGCAGGTTTCGCCGTCATTGGCGTCGCGGCAAGATTGGCATCTAAGCCTACTTCTCAGTAAGCTCTCATCAACACTTGCTGAAGCAATGTTTGTCGGTTTCAAGCTAGCATCCAGGCTGTTCGGCCTTGCTGCGAGGTCTGAAGAGCAGAGGCCCAGAAACGGCTCGATCTGAAGCCCATTGCAGTCGCGGCCTTAAAAGGGGGTAATACAGGGGATTATATAGTTAACCCCTTAAAGGGGCTTATATGGGGGGTAGGGATATGAGGAGTTCAGACTATAAGTAATGCGAGGCCAAGGCCTCAGGTGAAAGAAGTTGGCGCGTTGGTGATTGACGCATTAGTGCACACAGCCAGTCATTTGAAGCAGTCCCTTCATACCAAAATTGCTGAGCGCCTCAACTCACTAAAAATTCCCGATCCAAGACCTGATATATGGTTGCGCCCCGGCCCCCCCCCCCCCCCC